CATTGACTTTCTAGTCCCTTCTAAAGTTTTATCACACTGTATACATTGCATAAAGGACTGGTTCCACGAATATATCCGCATCAAATTAATTTAATTGTTTATTTCATCGTTTGGTACTTACTTTGCAGTTATATTATGTTCATATTACGACTAGAGTACATATTTTATCACTGAATAAAACACATAGAATAAAAAATCTAGTTGTATATTCGTTTGGAATTTTGAATAATATTTTGTAGTGTTCAAATTGGAAAAACTGTTTTATGATTTTTTTATTTAACTGAAACATATGAGGAATTTGGTGTGAAATTATATATATATATATGAGAAATAATACGATCTCGAAATCATTCCGAGTCTGTTACGAAACTATTATGTTGGAGTTTGTAATTTGTATATATAGATATTTTAAAAATATATAAAAATATAATAAAATGTCCAAGTAAATTTAGATAAATATCTCGCTTTTTATTTTTATTTTTTTTTTTTAAATATATGCACTTTTAAAAATTCTAAGAACCAAAACGTTTTTAAATTTCTAAAAATGTATTAACTATTTTTATTGAGAAATACGATTTGATTTAAGAGAAAAAACAAAAATGAAGAAAAAAAAGATCGAAAAAGCACTCACTGTTCAAACTGGATGTTGACGATGGAGACTCTGGGATTGGCAATGGCGGCGAATGCTACAGTGGACAGGACAAGGGTGGCTCCTTCGTATTCGGGCCGTGAGACCGAGGTTTGGGCCCGATCCACAATCCTCACCTGGATCGTCTGGTTGGGCACGCAGGCCGGCGGCAACGCCGAGCTGATGCACTGCACCATGTACTGCCGCCCGCAGGCGGCGCCGTTATTCCATATATCCTCGCCGGCCGCCGCAAACAGCCTGTTCGTCGGGAACTGACCAGGATCCTCGCCGTGACACGCCGTCGCTGCACATCCGCACACGATTTACAGAGGAATAATTTCAAATCAGATCTGATGAAATCAAATCGAGCCTGTTAACTTACGCGTATACGGAGGCGAGTAGCGGCTGGCGCTGCCGATGTCGGCGTTGCAGATCGGGAATTGTGGCCGGAAAACCAAAACGACGACGTACAGCCATAATAGGGATACAATTGTAAACTCGGACCTCAACATCACCGTTA